CGCCTCTTTGACGAGAACAACGACGCGGCCATTCTGGTGCTGCTGGAGCCCATCCAGAGCAAAGCCATTCCCAAGAGGTTCTGCAAGCTGCGGAAGATCATGAACACAAAGACCTACCTGGAATGRCCTGCTGGTGAAGAGCAGCAGCAGSTGTTTTGGGAAAACTTGAAAGTAGCCTTGAAGTCATAGAAGTCAGCTGCCCCCATTTCAACATATTTCTGAAAAAGGCCCCATGTGAGTGTTTCTTCCTGCTAAGAATCTCTTCTTCCTCATTTGTCTTTGTAACTGTGACTGGCTTTGTTGCATATAGATACTGACTGCAAAAGACCTGTTTTATGCTTTCCATTGATTTGATACTCTGCTCTTTAAAAATCCCTGCCARTAACTACGGTATTTGGAAACTTTTTTGGACTTGATATACTTTTCTAAATACATTTTGCTGAGTGTGGGATATTTCTGTATTTTTTCTCCTGTTACAGCTGTGCCCAACTTGTTTCTAACAATGCCATTGTAATTTACAAATTAAATTAAAAGCCAGGGGCTTAAATCAATATTCCCCCGTGTCCGTTTCTTCCTGGGAATGCTTGTTTTTCTCTTCACAATCACCACCAATTTCATTTCTACCCTCCCATAGAAATAGCTAGACCCTTCTATTTTTGGGGTGTGAGACTCTGTTTCTAATGTGTGGGCTCAATGGTGTTGCAGACTGTCTCAGTTCTTARTTTTGCTCTTCTAATGTGCCGAGCACATTAATGTAATCATTGGGCCACACACCTCTTAGATCTCTACTCATACTCATCTTCCTTTGTAGTCAGTGAAGGAATTCACACGGATAAGGGGCAGTCCATTTCTCTGCTTCAGTGTGAGGTGTGTCCTAGAGTTACCATCCTGCTCTGCACCGATCACAAAGGGAGTCTAGACAAGCAGGTCRATACAGATGTTTATGTTAAGGTAGCTGGTGCCTGGATTTCTTGTGTTTCAGAGGTTCTTACGGGACCCTGAAATTGTCTCTGATGGGATTGTTAGGTGTGGTTTCTCTGACTCGATGTTTTCATGTTACCCTTAGCTTGTTTTGCTGGAGCTTAAGTAGAGGAGAGTCTAGATCTGATGACACTTTACACATGCAATTATTTTGTGGTGAAATATTAAAGCTTTGACATATGGGCTGAGTATTTGAAAAACAGTAAAATTTGCTTATATTATCTACTGGTATATTCTCACTTCATCATACATACATATACACGTGCATGTGCTTTTATAAATGTGTATGTATTCACACTCCTGTGTGTATGTGCATGTGTACCTACACGAAGAGGGTTTCTGTGGGCAAACACCACTTTCAGTTCTGTTTTCCTGTGGCACTGTTATCTCCGGGGTCAGTCCAAAGTTTGCTACAAAGTGATTTTTCGGTAAATGCTCTTGGAGGAAAATAGCTCATGGTYTAATCAACACTGCACTCCAGGTAGGTGATGAGTGAATCACCTGAGAGCAAACACTGAGCATGGATAAAACAAATTAGGAGAACTGTGTGCCTAGAGGTAAGAAGGGAAATTAGTCTTGCTGGTCATTATGAAGAGAGGGTCAAAAAGAGATATRGGAGAAGCCTTAGTTTTTATGCAATACATTCTTACCATAGACCCAGAATTCTGTGCATTGGCACATTTGAAAGCACTGATAGTGTTCCTGCTCTTTTGCCAATCAGATCACCAGAGCAGGAATTCCCCTGCTTACATCGTCAAGGCTGAGAGACCAAGTGGAAACAAAACAGCAGYGTGAGAGGAAGCTGGGCAAAGAATGRTCAGCAAGAGAGAGATGAAACACARCGTAGGYTAACTGGCATGTGGACRCTGGAGCTGGAGGTGGCATCTCTGGGAATCTTTTTGGCACAGTTTTCAGGTAGGTGAAGGCTGGAGGTGTGGGGAAAGACAGCGGAGCTGCAATGCCAGAGCAAGAAGCAAGCAGGGAGCCCTGGGAAGAGGCCATCCTATCTTTGTCACCAATCCTCCTCTGCATGGGGGACTCAGGGTGCCCAGGGCTGCTGAGCAGGAGTGTGGAGTGAGGAGGGATTTCTGCCCTACTGGCTGCCAGCAGAAGTAGAGCAGGTGCAATCACAGGCTGGGATGCATGGCAGGCAGGCAGGAAGTGGGGAGCCAGGACATGCTGATGAGAAATGGGAGAGAGGAAAGCAGCAAATGAAAAAGAGACAAATTGGGTCAAACCTTGCTATTTCTGCTCCGTTTCCTCTTGGGAGGGTGCCTTGTGTGCACTTTGCCCTATTTGTCTGTTGTCCCACTGGGTGTTGGTGCTGACTGCCCAGGGAAGGCTGGGAGTGAAGGTGGGGTGCCTTGGTTTCGGGAACTCAACCAGGAAAGGGCTCACTGAACGATGGCCTCGGGACATCAGCTGCCTCCTCACCTGACTCCAACCTGCTGCACATCCTGTGTGTGGGGAACAAGACGGGACACGGCCGTGAGTGAGTGCGGATGTGCACACGCTGCWGGGGCAGCGCCGGGGGTGAGAATTAGGGCACGGGCAACCCACAYAGCCAGGTGGAGAGCTGCAGCTTGGGTTCCCCAGTCTGCCTGTGGTTTGACCTCTTCACCAGGCAGTGACTACTGCTCTGCAGGCTCCACAGCACTGCTCACATTCACCAGCCCACACTCAGCTGGGGGGTGCTCCCAAGCTACAATCGATTTGCACTCTATTGGGTGCTTTATTCCAGCACTTATATTAACTTTCAGCATTTGTTAGCATTTATAGATCYTCATTCTGTTGTCAGTCGTGGTTTTGTTTCAGAATGTTTAAGAATGTGCATATTTCCTCAAATACTTCTACTCATGTGGTCCGGGGAAAATAATCCTGAGCATGTCTGATGACTTGGACCCTTTTTCCATATCTTAGAAACATTTTGAATGCCTGGTTCATCACAGCACCKTATGGTATAAGGGCATCTGTGAAAGTTTATGTACTTTCAGTTGCATTTTGATTTAAATTTTTTTAATGTGGCTTTTTAGTTCCCAGCATAACAGGAAAAAGTGATTTCTTGGTAGGGCAATGATATGGGGTGGGGCTATGTGTCTGAGTGGGTGTGGAGAGGCCTGAAATGACCTCGTAAGTCAGAGTCTTAAGCAGCATCATTAGACAGGAATGGGAAGAGAATGGCTAAAAGTGAGGCTGGGTGGGAATGGGATTTCTCTGAGTTCTGCTCAGATTACTGGTGAGCAAAAAAATGGGAAAAGAAGCATCCTGAATCACCAAATGGAGTTCAGACCTGCAGTCTCTGGATGGTTTCAGACTGTTAAGGTGGGGACCCATTAGGCTCAGCTGGTATTTCCTGTGCAGTACCTGCCCAGTTCTCTTCTGTGTGGCCAATTGTCCACCTATAAATGACCTGCCTCTAGACAGCTTTTGGTTGATCAGGTTGCCAGGTTGCTTCATTTTTCTAACAGTWAGTATTTGGAGGATGACTCTAAAAATACCATTCGAATTCATTGCTAGTGGAGCTCATGTTCCTCCTGGCTTCACTCCTATAGCCTACAGCACTGTGTTATCCAGTTACACTTGGGAGACCAAAAAATCCCCATAAAAGAATCTCAGCTGAACAGCAGATGAGTCTAACCACAGGTCACAACTTTTTGTGTGGGATTCACTTGAACAAATATCTAGTTATCTRTTTTAAGGCAATGGGATCATTTCTCTTGGAGTCATCACATCTTAATCTGGGTGTCCAAGACACAGAATATGAATTGCTCCTGAAAGATGTTATTTCCCTCCATTGACTTTGAAGGAGATGGTGGATGTCCTGTTCAGCTGTGGGCATCTACAGACAGGGAAGAGAACTTTGTCCTTCAAGATCCAAAGCTCTACATCACAGACAGACAGAGATAAAAGTAAAATAACATAAGAGGTCAAAATGTTCATAGTCCTGCAGGTGGGAGGAGATGGAATGACTGAAAAAATTATMCAGAACTTTTCCTCCCCTCTGCATATGCCCAAACCATCTCAGTCAATTCTGCCCCTTTTGGATAAACTTAAGCAGTTATGGCTAAAATAAATGCAACTGGAAGGGTGGGGCCTCTCTGTATTAGCTTGTATATGTGGGTCAGCTACTGTAAAGCAAATCAGAATATGAATTCAAAGTAGAGTAGATTTTCTGCACATAATCTCAGTGAGATGACTGAGGGGAAAAAGCAGTTTTCGAGAAGCCAATCTAACCTGATTAACCTGATAGAGAGCACACAGTGATTTTGTGATCTCATTAACTGGTCATTTTGGGCTTTGTTCACTCGTTCCATCCTCAGTAAGATACCTACTGAGGTAGGGGTTTTGTAGCACACTGGAGAAAATGACATTTAAAAAATGCTCTTTGATCCTTGTCAAGAAAGATTACATTTCAATGTGTATTAAATGTTTTTAAGGTAAAAGAGCTCTCTCAGGCTTCAAAWATTGTTTTTCCAGCTCCTCAGAAGGGTAGAGGAACTAAAGGCATCTTGTTGGGAGTGAGAACAAGCTGGATATTGCAGGAACCTCTGCAACAAAAAACTAGCAATGCCAAATCAGCCTTATGAAAGGCACAGCTGTCAGAGGAAAGTGAAGTGAGACAGGATTTACATCTGTGTGGCTTCTCTTAAATCATTTCAGTCCAGAAGACCAGCAACAGGCTATGGGGCTGGAAAAAATTATCTAGTCCAGTCAGCTGATCTGATCTGAGACCCTGGCTCTTCCTTGTGGCTTGGCTTGATCTTCTCTCTGCCGCAGGTTCCAAAACAGAAAAAGGCAGTGGCAGAAGAGAAGGGTGTGGCAGTAAAAACGAAGAGAGGTAAATGTTTGTTTCCCTGTTCACGGGACATTTACAATCAGAGTAGGCAGAGGCAGATAAAACAAGGACTAAAACAAATGCAATCTGTTTCACCCTAACCCTGTCCTCACTGTCAGCATAGAGATTAGACATATGCTTGAAATAAGTATCAAACATTAATGCTACTATCTACTGTAAGATGCTCACTCCTCTTGATGTAACCAGAATTTGAAACACATACAGGAGACTCCCTGTAGTAAARAGAGATTATACAAAATAATATTCACAGATTCAGGAGAAAAAGACCTGAGGTGGGATTGAAGTATGAAGACTACTTACTAAACAGGAAGAGGAGAAGAATAGTAACTACCCTGTTTCAACTCTGACCTGTGTTAAAACAATTGTATTCATAGTGCCTTCAACAGGACAGAACAGKTAAAGTTATATTTAAGATATATCCAAAAAGTGTGTTCTCCAAAAGAAGCGATCCATCTTATATTTGCTCTGACTGTATTTTGTATTTTAGGCCCTATAATGGCTACCCACACCTGGCAAGTGGTGGCCATCTGYATGCTCTTGGCTGTGCACCTCTCTGAACAGCAAACGCTGGAGCAGGCTTGTCCTTCATGTGTTGCCAGTCAGGATTGCAACTGCTCTGCCGTGGGATTGGACTTCATTCCCCCTGGGATCACAGCCAGAATCACAGCGTTAAACCTGGCCCACAACAGGATAAAGCACATCCGATCCCAGGACCTGCAGCAGGCTGTGAACCTGAGGGCCCTGCTGCTGCAGTCCAACAAAATCAGCTCCATAGATGAGGACGCATTCCAGTCGCTGGCAAAGCTGGAGCTCTTGGACTTATCCAATAATAGCTTGGCTCAGGTGTCCCCTGCGTGGTTTGGGCACCTTTTGTCACTGCAGCACCTCCACCTTCAAGGCAATTCCTACAGAGAGCTGGGGAAGAGCTCCCCCTTTTCCAGCCTGAGGAACCTGAGCTCTCTGCACCTGGGCAACGCGCGGTTCTCCGTGATWAGGCAAGGGAACTTCGAGGGCCTTGAGATCCTGCACAAGTTGTGGATTGATGGCAGCAATCTCAGTCAGTACGAGCAGGGAAGCTTRAAATCAATTAAGAAGATAAATCACATGATCATAAGCATAACAAGCATTAATGTATTCTCAGAAATTGTTAGGGACCTTSTGTACTCTGTCACTTGGCTGGAAGTTAGAAGAATAGCATTCAATATCCCTGCAGAAATCCAAGTGTTGAGAGTCATGTCTTCGTCTTTTTCAAAGAAAATTACTTTTAGACAGATCTTATTAACAGATGCTACTGTGCCTGAGATTGCCAGCATTTTAGAACACATGCCAAAATTAGTGGAGTTGGAGCTGATAGACTGTAGGCTCTYGGGAACAGGACAATGGGGAGTGCAAATTGAAGCAAAGGAATCACAGACCCTTAGAGTTTTGACAATAGAGAAATTATCTATAGAAAAGTTCTACCTGTTTACAGATCTTCAAACAGTGGAAGGACTAYTATCTCTTTTTACCAGAGTCACAGTTCAAAACACCAAGGTCTTTTTGGTACCATGCAGCATTTCCCAACACCTTATTTCATTGGAGTATCTTGACCTTAGTAAAAATTTACTTGGAGACCTGAGTTTAGAGCATTCAGCGTGTCAGGGTGCTTGGCCATCACTACAAACTCTAAATTTAAGTCAGAATTCACTGAGTGACTTAGAAATGACAGGTAAAAGTTTGTCTCATTTAGGAAACCTAATTGTTTTGGACATTAGCCTAAACAATTTTGGTGAGATTCCAGATGCGTGTGAATGGCCGAATTCCCTGAAATATTTAAACCTGTCCAGCACTCAAATTCCTAAAGTAACAGGCTGCATTCCTCCAAGGCTGGAAGTTTTGGATGTTAGTGGAAACAACCTGAAGGAGTTTCAGGGACTGGAGCTGCTGTTCCTGAAAGAGCTGTACCTCAGCAAAAACCAGCTGAAGACCCTGCCTGGTGCCGCACTCACTCCAAACTTATTGGCCCTGTCCGTCAGGAGAAACAAGCTGAACGGTTTCACCAGGGAGGAGTTTGAGTCCTTCAAGAGAATGGAGCGTCTGGATGCCAGCGACAACAACTTCATGTGCTCCTGTGAGTTCCTGTCGTTCGTCCAGCAYGAGGCCAGGCTGGCCCAGGTGCTGGTGGGGTGGCCGGACAGGTACGTGTGCGACTCTCCGCTGGCGGTCAGAGGGATGCSGGTGGGCGCYGTSCGCCTGTCCCTGATGGAGTGCCACAGGTCCCTGGTGGTGGCGTTGGTCTGCGTGCTGGTGTTCCTGGCCATCCTGCTGCTGGTGGCYGTGGGCTACAAGTACCACRTGGTGTGGTACCTGCGGATGACGTGGGCGTGGCTGCGAGCCAAGCGCAAGCCCCGCCGAGCCCCGCCCAAGGACRTKTGCTACGACGCCTTCGTGTCCTACAGCGACAACGACTCGGACTGGGTGGAGAACACCATGGTGCGGGAGCTGGAGCAGGCCTGCCCTCCCTTCCGCCTCTGCCTGCACAAGCGGGACTTTGTGCCCGGCAAGTGGATCGTGGACAACATCATCGACTGCATCGAGAAGAGCCACAAGACRCTCTTTGTGCTGTCCGAGCACTTTGTGCAGAGCGAGTGGTGCAAATACGAGCTGGACTTCTCGCATTTCCGCCTCTTTGACGAGAACAACGACGCGGCCATTCTGGTGCTGCTGGAGCCCATCCAGAGCAAAGCCATTCCCAAGAGGTTCTGCAARCTGCGGAARATCATGAACACAAAGACCTACCTGGAGTGGCCTCTTGAAGAAGARCAGCAGCAGCTGTTTTGGTTTAATTTGAAAACGGCTCTAAGATCCTAGACARGGACACTAAAGAATAAATATGTGGTGAATGTACTCTGGATTTGTTTCCTTTGCCTCTTTGTCCCCTCACTTACCTGCATCTCAGCAAAAGAGAGCTGATCTACTGCAAATTCTAAAACTAGCTATGAGATAATTTCTTTTGGTAGCCATTGTTCYGAGAAGTGCAGGTTTGGGCTGGAATGGTGTTGATTTTCTTACAGATCCCTCTGTGGTGCTGTGGTTTTTTATTTGTGACCAAAACAGTCTCCATAACACAGGGGTGTTTTAGTTATTGCCAAAAAGTATTTGCTTAGCATCAAGGTCATTTCCATTTCTCACATTGTCCTGCCAGTAGGGCTGGGGGCGCATCATAATTTGGGAGGGGACATAGCTAGGACAGCTGATCCCAGCTGACCAAAAGCATGTCCTACACCATTATGTCATGACCTATAACAACACAATCAGCACTAAACGTGGGAAAGAAAGAGTAAAGGAGGATGTTTGGAGTTATCACATTTGCCTTCACAAAGAGTCCTGCTTTTAATGGCAGTGGCTGCACATTTGCCTGCTGATGGGAAGTAGTGAATTAATTCCTTGTTCTGCTTTGCTTGTGGGCATAGCTTTTGCTTTACCTGTTGAACTGCCTTAATCTCTTCTCACAAGTTTTTTCACTTCTACCCTTCAGATTTTYTCCCCTGTTTTACTGCAGGGAGAGTGAGAGAGYGGCTGCATGGTGCTGAGCTSCCTTCTGAAGTTAAACYACGGTAGTTGTCTACACATGTTAATCAGCAGGTCCATTTTAATATTTAATGATGAAAAGTTGTTTAGACATACAGCTATGTAGTTTATATGTCTTTATCTTTGCCAAAGTTTTGGGAGATAACCTGCCTAGACAAGAGGGTTGTTTTTTGGTTTTTTTTGCATTCTTTGTATAAACCACTTCTAATCAAATTGTATAAAACTCAGTTTATGCAGCAAAGAATTTTGTCCTAGCTGTCCTAGTCAGTGTAACCAAGGACTGACTCTCAGTATTTCATTGTCACAGTAAATTAAATGCCCAGATCTCCTGAAAATCATGGGGCAAAGCTTGATGTAGAAATGTGCGTTCTCACTGCAGTTCTGTCTGTTGTAGTTTCTAGGTAGATAATTTCTTTTATGAGAGACATTTGTGGAGGATGAACTGTCTAATTTCATTGTACTGTATGTGGCAATAGATGCTTCAGAGTAGGGTTCAAATATTCTTCTGACTTGCACAAGTGGAGTTCAAGCTATTCTCAGCCAGAGTGTGGGAAACCCTCATAAATACAKGGTTTTTGAATCCAACACCATATTCCTCTCTTTGTTCAGCAGCCTTAACACAGGCACAAAAAGGGTGTTTCCTACCTTTTGCTCTCTTGGTAAAGGTAGTCCACAAAACTGGAGTGTGTGGAGAGCATCCCACCTGGGACATTGTGTTTGTTGTCAATGGAGGCTGTGCTTCCTTGAGAGGGTTGCTGGGATAAGGGTCCTAATTGCTGGAAAAGCAAATGGAAGACTGGCACCAGACTCATCCTTCAGAGCTGATTTRAAAASAAAGGRGTGTCTTTGTGATGTTTGCCTTGCAGCCACAGGAAGTTTCAGGTGAGCCCTGGGCCTGGTGGGCCAGAGGGACTCTAAACTTCTGGATCAGTTCAGGCCTTCAAATGGAAACTGAAGCCTTCAAATGGAAACACCTACAACATTTGGCTGTAAGTGTGATGAAAGCAAGCCCAAGTTWGGGTTTTCATTGCTGTTTTGATCTTGGGCATCTACTGTGCTGCAAAAACTCTTTTCAAACACCTCACTGTTTGCGGCTGGGTTGCGTGTGCTGGAAGTCTCCTCTCACAGCCATGTTGATGCCTTAGGATTTTTAGTTTCTATATTTTCATRCATCTGTATTCTTGTACTTCTCTAGTACATCACTAAAAACTACTGTTCTCCCATCTTTAGACAAAACAATCCCTCTCTGAGCCTGAATCCAAGGATACCTCACTGCCGGCTTGCTGTATATAAACAACAGCGAGTTGCGGGGGAGCAAGTTTGGGGTGGTTGACAYCATGACCTGAAGATCATTGGAGAACTAAGACCCAATATGTTAATAAGGCAGAACTTACAAAAGGTGAAGATCTGGTGACCTGGTGTCYGTTTTGGGTGTAGCCTCAGGAGGAGGAGGCTTTGTCTGCCCTAATGTAGCAGTAGGCCTGTTAGGCCTGTATTAAAGCTGTCTATTCTCATTCTCTTAAGTTTGTCTGGCCTCTCTTTCAGATTAGCAATTGATAAGGCATCAGTGTCACTGCTTTTAGCAAGTTCTCTGCACAGCCAAGGTGTCCCTGAGGGCAGGAGAGCCCCTGTTCTTTSACAGCCATAGAGAAGGCTGAGGACATACCTGTTCCTATGACAGCCACAAGCAGGCAGCTCTGATAGCACAATGAAAATTAACAGCTTACTTTGACKTTTATCAAGAATTATTTACTTTGTTACTTCATCTAAGCTAACAAAGCCACCTTCTTTCTATGTACTTAAGATTCATTCTTTCTTTCATTTACTTTGGGGTTTTTTAACTGCATAATTTCCTATTTTTAGCATCTAAACCTTACTTTCACCTGTAAATGACTTCTTATATATATATTAAAGAGTAAGTTAAGTGTATCTCTAATCTCTAATAACAATGTAAAGATTCTTACTGACCATGTTTAATTTGAATTCAAGTGCTTCTGCTATCTACTTCTTCATTGTAAGGAATAAAACAATTTTTTTTTCCCTAGCATGAGCTTCCCATTAAAACCATAAATTTCTTTTGGGTCTTTCTTTGAGAAAATAAAATACGTTTTCATCGCATTCTGAACAGCCTTGCTTTTAATGTAAAAAGAGGCAAAAGTATTTCCAGTACACCAGAATTCCACAAATTGCTATTTTCTCTAATCTTTTAAAATTAAAAACAGAATATRCATATTATTGTAGACAGGTAAATATCCAACACTTTGAATTGTCACTAATAATCTCCATCCTGTTCTAGAACTGGTGAGTAAATAATTCCTTGGATGATGCCTATAGCAATTGACTGCCAAATCACCAGAGAATAGAGATGGTCCAGAAGTTGTCCATACAGTATTTGTGTGTTCCCACACAACCTATTCATAAAGAAACTGGAGAAAAAAAATGTAGCGGTAGATAAATCTTATTTAATTTACCTTAATCAGAATCAAAGAAACAGCATTGGGTTAAATTGCTAAACCTTTTTAAAAGACCTTTTTGAAAGATCTTTTTAAATATTTTTTTTAATGCTCAGAATTTACTTCCTCAACTCTCACAATTTACTTCCTTTTTTTTTATAGAAATAAGGTTAAAACCAAATATCCTATGATTGAARTAGACTCCAAAAAAAACTAAGCCAAACTTTGCTTTCATTCAAGCAGGTTTCCACAGACACAACAGCAGATCTTCAATTATTGTTTTACTTGCAAAAGAAAAAATAGTGTTTACTAACTGCTAAAAGGGAAAACCCCTCTTGTTCTGGAAGTGCATTATATCGGTTTTTAAAATTTTGTTAAAGAGAAAATTCCACTGCTTAGTCTTTATAAACCTGTGATTTATATTTTTAAAGTGTTCCTCTCATTATAAAAATTCTTTCTGGATGTCTTAAAATCAAGAAGGAAAAGATATATGAACTATTCCTCTCTTGCATGAAGTCTTAGATAAGATAAAGGCAAGCAGAACTATCACCTTCTCTAAATATAATTTTTCCTCAATAACAACAGATTTTCYGTTCATTTCATGTGGCTATGCAGATCAAAACAAGAATTAGTATGTAATCAGGCTATGGTTTAGAAAATCCAAATGAAAAGCACACTTATTACAGAGAAGGCGTAGGTTGCCTAACAACCCCTTCAAATCAGTATTCTCAGGGCAGTCTGGGTGAGTTTGGTTCTTGCCAACATTGGATGCAGTATTCATGAAACTCAGCATCAGGTGTGTTCTTGAGGAATCTTTCAAATGCATGAAAGACCCAACGCTTACATCTGCAAACCCGGTCAAATCATTCACAGATAATTTTAATGACTGAGTGCGGACCCTGTCTGGTTTTATAACCAAGCAGTTTCAAGTTTCTTAAAATATTTGGACTATTTGGAATTATGGTAAAGCTGAATCCAACGTCCTGAACATCCAGACTGGTATTCATATTTTCCAGCTCAGGAGAAGCCAGGATACTTTTATGAAGTGCACGAGTAGATGATCACTATCATTGTTCCAGCACATATTCGATATGTTTAATTTTAGTTTCTGGAATGCAACATGTGGAGTTATTTGGGATCYCTGAGCAGAAGTCACTGGGTCTTCTGTAAAGTTGTAGGGCACAGGGCTTTGGCTGAGATGGGTTCCACATCTGCCTTAAAACTGTCTGGCAAACAGCTCCAGGCACAGCTGGAGGAAATCCTCTGCCATACACAGGAGGGGAGCCTGAACTAACAGACCTGGCTGATGGCTCAGCACCCTGGTCTGAKGTCCTGCCAGGCACACCCACAAAAGCTGTGCACCACGTACCTGGAAGGCGGATTTAAGCCTGAAACTATGGGATTATGGCCTCTCCTGTGTCAGTTTGTCAGCCAGAAATTTGTATGGCCTCTACTTATATTACAGAACTGAAAAATAGTTTGTGTTCCTATTTTTACCTCTGCACAATGGTGTTTCTGAACATGGTTTTGGTTCCTTTTTTTTCCTTGGTATTTATTATCGTTATAATTATTTTTTAATATGGCGCAAAAGAGGAAAAAAMCAAGAGTTTCATAATTACATGGAAAGGATATCCATAATTACAGGACAGCTGTTAGGTATTTTCAAWGATCCCTTCTTTGTTTATATCTGCCCACAGACTGCAAAGATGTCATTGGACAAATTTCTTGTTGGTATGCCAGGGATGTTGTAAAACTGTCAAGATCAAATTTATGGGAAAGAAAGAAGCCAAAGAACAACAAAATATTTGCTTAGAGTCAAGGATGCATAAAAACATTTCAGCTGCCATCAAAGATAAGGACAGCATGAAAATGGCTACAGTTGTCTAGGTTTACTAGTGCCAGGATGCACAGTTACTAAAGAACAATTAAAATCTTATTGCTGATGCAAGACCTACAGCAACCACTTGCTTGATGTTAATTAACAAGACATAAGGTTATTATGTCAGCATATTTCTCTTGTTTRAAAGGGGAAGATAGGAGGTATAAAAAGGAAAGGACAAGAAGAGTCTTTCAAAGACTTTGGGGAAGGAAGAAACTTGCTTTCCTATGGCAATTAGGAAAGTTGTGTAGTCTCTTGCAAATAGGGATCTGCCTGTTGGAAACCCAAGTCAGGCCTGGCACATGGCAGTGGATACTGCATTAAGGGTGTTCTCCTAATCATGAGATTAATGAGGGAGTTCGACTGTTTTTGTGTGGCACAAGAACAGCTCTTCTCAAGGACAAGAGAGGTTCGTTTRCGGCAAGAGCATCCAGTATTCCTTATTCCCATGAGCCCAGGRACACAAGAGATTCAAGAGCTCCCTTCTGGTCCTTGCAGGTGGCACTGGGGGCAATGCACCTGGGCAGCGATGGAGGCTGTGTAGGCAGGACAAATCCCCACAGAGTCCCTTCCCATCACTCCCGTGGTACAATACCTTAAAAAGTAGTATCATGGCAAAATCCACAGAGTCATCAGAGTCCTTTCTCTCATAAAACCACAAAATATTATTCATGTGGGTCTGAGCTTCACCAGAACACCGGAACTTCTTAATGCACCTGGAATTTTTACCTGTCCAGAATTTGTCTTTACATTTGTTCAGAATTTCTGCATCCCACTCAGAGCTACTGTGCTGGACTCATTCTGAGGTGCTGTCTGACCAGAAATAGCAGGGACTCCTCAAGAATGAGTAGATCAACCTCCTCATGCATTTGATGTAAGTCCAGTGCTTCTTGAAGGGTKTGCAGATATTGCACATATATAAATCAGCTGTTCCTTTAAGTCCCAGAATTATTGCCCATATATTGTATCTTTGATTAATCTAAAAGTATGTAGCTCTGATGKAAAATTCTTCAATTCTTGGCAGAAACTTAGCAGTCTTGTGTTACCAATACTGTTTAGCTTTATTCTGTTGAAATATTTTCTTTAACCAGCTAAGTTCCCTCACCAAWGTATTTTTAAGATATAGCTGCAAAATTTGTTAGCTCTAATTCAAAGGCTTTTACTTTGTGTCTGGTAGCAGCAGCAATGACAAGTCCTTTTTAATGTTGAGAAGCTCCAGTTTCATGGTGTTTTGTAGCCAGGTTTCAGTCTCCCAATACCTGTTCCACATTACACATTAACATTTTTGAAGACTCTATTGGGTTGGGAGGTTTGGGAGTGGGGGATTAAATACCACTTGATGTATTTAGCAAAAATTTTGCTCTGAGGAATTTGTATTCAGGAGGACAGTGGKCTCTTTCAGCTACAGAAACTTAACATTTCTTTGACTAGCATGCTACACCTGATTGAGGTTCGGCTGATCTTGTTTCTTCTGCAAAACAATGAAATTACTCTAATTGT